TTTTAAAACTCTGAACCAAGTAAGGATTGGATGCTAAATTGAAACCTACCTTCCTTCCTTCCTTCCTTCCTTCCTTCCTTCCTTCCTTCCTTCCAAATAAATAAATAAATAAATAAATATTTTAATTACAATAGCAAAATTCTCTTATCTATATTATTCGTCTCTTTATCTGTAGACAAATCCGTAAAGCATCAACTTTTCACTCCTAGTGTCAGCAGAAAGTCCATTAAGGATTACCAGAAATAACGACTTACCTTATTTTAACTTTGATCAAATAAACCAACTTTATATACCTTCCCTTTACTTATAACAGCCTTAATCTTTAGTCCATTCAAATAATGCCATAGAATTTGATTTCTTTTCATTTCTTCTTTGTCCATCCTCACAACATTCTTCAAAGCTTTAACAAGCCTCTTTTGTAAATAAAATATAAAAGAATTATGCAGGTCACTTTCTTGGTTTATTATTTGTATTTTGATTTTTAAAACATCAACCAGGTTTCTTTTGTATGTCCAGTGAGATATCCTTTTCCATATCATTCTTGTAACCTGTCATTCGTAGAGCCATTTTCAATGTCATCTCTGTCTTGTTCCTCATCAGCCATTTCTTCCATAACATCTTTTGGATGCAGTCTATCCATAGAAGCAAGCATCGCTATTGAAATTGTTGATACTAACTTCTGATTCCATTTTTCAAAAGTGTCCTTCAGTATTTTCAAGGTTAAAATGTTTTGTACCATTTTATATATCCCAGTTAATTAGGTGTTAATCAGGCTTGTGTATTTTTCTCCTTTAATTAAAATCTTTAGTTCTCTCTAATGTCCAATTTTTTAAATTGCTTATCTTTATTTTGTCTTGCAAAAATCCAAGCAAATCTATTTCCCACAGGAAGGATTCTTTATAATTAATTCCAAAATCTTATTCCAAATGTATCTGGACCCTTAATCCATCTATAACTTTCTAGGATCAAAGTCCTATTTAGCCTTTTGCTGTTTATTTGAATTTTTTTTTTTAATGCTGAAACTTATGATTAAAATGTTCTTTCATTAAGGATTGAAAGAAAACTCACCTGGTGTTTTCAGATTTGTCAATCTGAAAGTCTCTAACAGCTTAAAAGTAGCTAAGCAATTTCTGAGTGCGATTAGAAAAGAAAGTTTGTGAATTTAGTGTCCTTCAAAAGGCGCAGACTGCGGTTACGAACAAGATGGCTATTTCTGTCATCTCCTAGTGCTCAAAACCCAGCAGGGACTGCTGATTGCAGTCTCCTCAAAGGAGCAACTCTTTGGAGTGCATGTGGCGATCTCCCATCCTCTCCTTGTCCAGAGAGGTTTCAAAGAGCCAGTCTATTCACCGGCTCTTCATTCTTCACTGCAGTCATTGGCTCCGCTTTTCATGGAGACATCTTCAGTCCGCCATTTCTTCCTCTGGAAGCTCCTAAATTGAAGCCTTCCACAAACAGAAGGCAGTATTTGTTGCTGTCCCTTCCTCTCTGTTCCTGTCAGCCCAACAAGGTAGACTAGACTAGAAACTAATGCCATGTAGGCCAAGACTACTTCTATTATAACAGGTATATAAACAGAACCTTGCAAGTTTGAATGTGCTTCCCCTCACCCCTCAGTTTATCTTTGTGTGAACAAGGGAGGGCTTGTCTGAGAGGTTTTCTCAAGTTATTTCTTTGGCCTGAGCTCAAGCCCCTCTTATCTGACCATTGCCTTTATAGGGGCTCTTCCTCCTGTCCATCAAGGCCATTCCCTCTGCCCTCTACAATTCCACAGGGGCTCCCAGCTCTCTGGAGAAGGTTTTTGGAGGGAATTTGCAACATTGCCTCCCCTCTCTTCTGCTCCTGGTGGAGCTGCCATCTAAAGATACTTCCTCCATAAACCAAGTGTGGAGACAAGCTATAAAAATAAATGATTGTTAAGTTCATTTCTAGAATAAAACTGAGTCCATTTTTGCTGTTCCCTGCTTTGGCATATTTTGTAAACCACCTAAAATTATACCCATAGGTCAAAAAATGGTGTTCCAGAAATCCTTAAAAACCTGTCTATTCCCCCAGGCCCTGGGGTAGGGTAACTGTTGGGCCCTTGTCAGGCATATTTTGTGTAATGTATGGAGTTTGTCTTTCCAGATAGACATGGTTTCTTTTTATCTACTCTTGGGTTTTTTTGTTTTTGGGGGGGGAATATAAGCTGCCCAGAGTCCTTAAATCTTTAAATCCTTGAACCTAACCAACCAATCTACAGCACAGAGCAATAGTCAAGTGAAGGTAAAATAAATAGATGCCTTGTAGCCCTTTGCTATCAGAGGTGAATTTTCCTTGGTCTTTTCTCAGGGAAAAGTATGCCATGATGTTTGATGAACCTGTTCTTCTGCAAGCCAGTTGGTGGTATGTAGCTTGGGCACGGGTTTCTGGCCCGAGCAGCGACTGTGGCTCCCACGGACAAGCCTCTATTACTACAGACGATGGGTAAATAAACAGCCTTTTCCTTCCCCTTGCCGCCTCTGACACAGAGGGAGCATCGCTGGCCTTGACACCTTTTTTCCTTTTGCAGGATTGTCTTCCAGTTTAAAAGTTCAAAGAAATCAAATAATGGTACAGACGTTAATGCAGGTCAGATCCCTCAACTGTTATACAGGTAATGCTATTTTTTTTTCTCTTTAAACAGACATACGAACCAGAGATTTAATGCAATATTCAACAAAATTAGTTGTACATCTTCATAACCCCAGTTTCTTATTTTAATTGGGGCATTATAGCTCTATAAATTGTTCCGCATAATGAACATATAAGAATTATTTAGCCAATATTGTTTTATATTTATGAATATTTAGATTCCTTTAAGCTTCCAGGGAAGGTCTACTTTTGTGGACGCTAATAGTCAACCCTAAATTAGGGCAGCTTCAACAACAGCAACAGCAACAGCAACAACAGCAGCAGCAGCAACAACAACAACAACAACAACAACAACTCCTCCTCCTCCTC